AATAAATTATTAAGTTATAAATTTGATATTATGAATAGTGAAAATGTCTAAAAATGTTCAGAAAAATGGAATATGTTTGGAAAAATATAATTATGTCTAAAAAATATCTGAAAAATGTTTAAAAAACAGGATTATGTCTGAAAATTATTTGAAAATGTCCGGAAAATGTTCAATTTTGCATTCTAAAGAAATCAAACATTGAAATTACAGACAATGACATTTTTCAGACAAAATGAATGTTCAGAAACCACTAAGATTTAGAACATATTCTGGATAATAAAAATGTTTGGAATTTGTACATTATTATTTCAATGCATTTACCTGTTAAATTCTAGACATTCTTTTTTATAGGATATAATAGTAATAATGCATATATTATTTGAAATAAAAAATCTTACAGCTTTTTCTGCTATTGAACAAATAATAATAGGAAACCTAGCTCCAGAAAACCTTTGAAAAAACTTATTATTAGCAAAACTATCTTGGATTAAGAAAGAAAACTTCCAACTTTAGTAAAATTAGAACAATCCAGAATTACGAATCCAAAAGATCAATTTGTATTTTGAAACTTATTATGCATATGTACTTCAGGTAGGAAATTCTCCCATGCTAAAGTTTATGAAACTATTCAAGCAACAGTTGCCTACATGTAAAGAACTTTAAAATTATAGTTTCTTAAGCGTAAAGATGCAGAAAATGACTTTTTCTTTAATATAGAACCTAAACTAAAGCTTGCTAACTACAAGATTAATATAATCAAATATGGTAAGGAATCAATAAAGTTAAAATCATTGATAGACCAAGCAAATACTAAAGTTCTAATATTTTATGAAGATTATAATTTTCTTTTATATTCACCAAATACTTTCCAATTAGTTACAGATTTTTTTAATCTTTTTCTAAAATTTTTAGCTAAGCCAACATCAGAAATTAATAAAGAAATTATGAATCTGATTCTTTGACATACAAAGAATATAATTAGTGATAAAAATGAGAAGCTTCATGAATATCTTTAGAAATAGTAGGCATATTTAGTGCAAAAGCTAAAAAAAAACCTCAGTAAATCTTAATCCTAAAATCTAAATTACAGTAGTGTGAAAAAAATATTATCACTGACTTTATTGATGACAAAGTTCTAGGGGAACATCTCTATTATGCTACATCAGATTTGAAAAAAATTCTTAGACGATTTAATAGTGCCATTCAAGCTCAAAAACTTATTATTATAAATGAGACTGAAATGACTAGTGAAGATTGACATAGATTTAATAGATATTTCAAATCTCTTACAACAGAAGAAATGGTGATTATAGAACGCAAAGGTCTTGAATCTAAATAACTAAAAGATTTTACTAGGTATATGATTATAAGCAACCAGAATGCTTCACTCAAAATAGATATAAAGGATTCTCGTATAGTCTGTTTTGATATTTCTTCACAATTTAGAGAAAATACAGCATATTTTAAGCAAATAGAAAAAGTTCTTAACCCTCTAATACACCAGAAGTAGTTATAAGATATCTTCTTAGTCTAATCTCTCAGATTTTGAATCATAAAAAATTTCTGTAACTAAAATAAAATCAAATATAATGCGAAATTAGCTACCTAATCCTATTCAATTTATAATTAATTATATTGCATCTCGAGCTGAGGATAGTATAGTTGAGTTAAATAAAAAAGCATTATATCAGAAGTATCTTGAATAGTATAGAGAGGATAGCAAAAAGCCATTTTCTAATAACATTGCTAAAAAGAAATTCTTAGATATTGGTATTGAAAACAAATAAGCACAAACAGGTGATGAAAAAAGGGAATGGCAATACATTCTTAACCACTCTAAGATTGTAGCTAAGCTTCATGAATCTGGCCTAGAAGATATAGAAGAATTTTCTGATATACCTCAGCCAGAGGTACTAAAGGCAGATTAGTTTCTGGTTAATAAGGTCACAAATATATCCATATTCAATATGTCAGAAACGGTAGTTACTAAAGTGACTCCAACTATTCTCTAGAAAATAATCCTGAAGAGAATCTTTCTCTAAGGATAAGAAAGTAGATAAACAGAATGATTTGACTCAAGTTTTTTTCGATTATATAGTAGAATAATCAGAAGTCCCAATTGTCTTAATATTTGAGACATCTGAGACTTCTAATCTATCCAAGCCAGTAATTGACAAGCTTCTTAAATATATTAAATCTATCAGCAAAGTGGTAGATATGCCTTCAAAAAAAATAAGCGATAAGTGCGATTCTTCTAAGCCTATTAATGAAGTATTGTCTGTTATATTTCTGTCAAGAAACCAATGAGAAGAGCATCTCAAAAAAAGGCAGTTGAACTTGAAGAGAATCCAGATGTTTTCATGACTATCACAGAAAAGGACAGGCTCAATTCCATTGTATTTCATGATAGAATGGAAATTAATTTACAAATGTGTGGATATACAAAAGAGTTGAAAGAAGATTCCAAAGAACATATAGACATAACAATATAGGAAAGATTAATAGGAGAAGAAATAATCCATTGTTCACACAAGGATAAGGAAGTCACATCATCCTGGCTTAATATTGATGAGAAATGAAAAAAAACAATAAACATACTTTAGGAGAATGGTATGCTTTGGTAAAGAGTGAATAAAAGTAGACAATAGTATTGGTAAGGATAGAACTTTTCGTTCTTTACAACTAGGTGATATATAATTTCAAATTACTATTATTAACAGTTATTTAATAACTATAATAATGAAGTATTGCCTCAATCAGGACTCTGTATTATACAATTATATTAGGGATTAAACTAAACTATTATATAAAACTATGAGTCAGACACACCGTTAAGCTAAAAGAAACTGTCCTCTATTATATAAAATGAAAAATATAAAGTTATTGAAGATATAAAAGAAATAAATATAATAAATAAAATATAATAATATATGAGATAAATAAAATAAAATAAATATATCATATAAAAGAAATATATGCTATAGATGACATAAATGATATAGATGATTTCTTAGAAATCGATGTCATCCTTTAAACTATCATCATTTATGTCTTCTTTTATGTAACACTATTTCTACTAGTTTTTACTGGAGTATATTTTATATAATATTATTGGGTCTTTATTACTAAGCAGTTGAGTAAGTGAAATAAAAAAAGTATATATATACATATTCTCTAACGTCTTTATAACGTTGAGATCTATAATGCATATTCTGCATGTCTTATTCTCTAACACAAAATTTTTAACGTAAAGTGTTTCGCATAGTTTTTCTGTCTCTTTTTCCAATATAAAGAGAATGTGAGAAATGATGGCATTTAAAAGAATAGTATGAAAATTTTATATTTAGGTCATTGAAAACCTTACATTATAATGTACATTTTTATTAATATTTTTTACTATGTTGAATTTAGTAGCTAAGGTTAAAGCTCTTTTATTGCAAGAATCATTTGACATTCTTTGTAAGACGTTAAAACCGGCAGAAACTGACAGGACAGACAAATCTGCCAAATCTGCCATATCTGTCAAAAAGGACATACTTAATATTTA